GAAAGACAGCCAGACACTGGCAGGAGAATTCCTATCTTTCTTAGATAGTCCTTTTAAGTCCTGGAATTTTGCCATTCTTCCTGACTCTGGCAACTTTTCAGATGCAAGGAAGAATGTTTCTTTTCAGCCAAAGGGGTACTTCCTGTTCCTATCCAACCAGTAAATAAGATAAATCATCAGAAAGATGGTCTATCTTAAAGCTCTGCAGTCAACTGCCATTAAGTCTGAGAATCTACTTTAAGACTGAAGAAGGAAAGCCTACCAAGCTATTAAAAGTGCCTATTACCTCATCCTCCTAGTGTCCAATAAAAGTTTAAAATGTAAATGAAAAGTAATTAGGAAATCAGGGTACAATTGTTTTGACTTTCTTTTAGTCCCTTAGAAAAAAAGAGCAATGAAAGTCAAGTCAGTAAACCTAAGGTTAACCCATTTTTGAACCTGAATTGTACTAAGAAGACAGGAAAGTGTGAAGCTGTGTAAGTGAAGTTGAGCCATAAGAAGATTTACTCTCTTTTCACTTAAATTATCCCGGGGTAAATTTCACCTGCTTACCTGCTGAAGGAAAAGAAAAGGCAATCGTATTAATTTACGGAGTGGGGAAAAAATATTGAACATATCATGTGGTGCTGTGGATCAGCATTAGACTGTGAACCACCAGATCAGCGGTTCAAACCCACCAGTTGCTCCTCGGAAACCTTACACAGGGTCGATATGAGTGGGAACTGACTCAATGGCACTTAACAATAACAACAACAGAAGAACAAGGAGTTCAGGTAGCATAGTGGATTACGAGTTGGGTTGCTACCCACCAGGTCAGCAGTTCGAATTTACCAGCCACTTGGAGGCAGAAAGATGAGGCTTTCTGCTCCCATAAAGATTTACAACCTCAGAAACCCTATACAGGGTCACTATGAGTCAGAACCGACTCCACAGCACATAACAACCACCACTACCCTCAGAAGAACAAACAAATCTAGCTAGGCAAAAGTCCAGCCAGTATGTTCCTTAGAAACGAGCACAGTGACATTCCATGCCACGTACTTTAGATATGTTATCAGGAGAGATCGTCCTGAGAGATGGATAACATGCTTCGAAAAGCAAAGAATCAGCAAAAAAGAGGGTGACCCTTAATAAAATGCATTCACACAGTGGCTGAAGCAATAGGTCCAAGCACAGCAATGACTGTGCAGATGGCTGTGGACCAGGCAGTGTTCACTCCACTGTGCACAGCGTTGCTAGGAGTCAGCACTGACTCCATGCCACCTAACAGCAACAACAGCAGCAATCCATATTTACAGTGTCGTGATTGTCATAATCACTTAAGGTAATTATCAAATAATCACTTAAGGTGTGTAGACATAGAATGGTACCAAATGTGTTAGTCTGAGACACTCAAATTCTTCAGAATCCTATTTACAAAGTGTCACCATCACATCACAAAATTCAAAATTTGAAATATTATTAAAAGTGAAAACTATATAAAAAATATAATTGCTAAAATTATTTTACTGTATAAATGCTCTTACAGTCTTTTGTGATTTCTTGGAGAAAAAGTAAAAAAAAAAAAAAAAAAAAAGACCTGTGAACCTTTCGATATGTGAAATAGCATTTAAAATCGTTTGACTTCATTAATACTCATTTGCTGTTCTTGTTAGGTGCCATTGAGTCTGTACCAATACATAGAGACCCTATGCACAACAGAACGAAACACTGCCTAATCCCAAGCCAACCTCAAAATTATTGCTAACCCTGAGCCCATTGCTGCCACCACTGTGCTAATCCATCTGGTTGGGGTCTTCCTCTCTTTCTCCAACCCTCCACTTTACCAAACATGATAGTCTTCTTCAGGAACTGGTCCATCCTGATAAGATGTCTGAAGTATAAGAGATGAAGTTTTGCTATCCTGGCTTCCAAGGAGTATTCTGGCTGTACTTCTTCCAACGGAGACTGGTTTGTTCTTTTGGCCAATCATGGTACTTTTAATGTTGTCCTGCAACACCATAACTCAAATTCATCAATTCTTCTTCGGTCTTCCTTATTCACTGTCCAACTTTCACATGCATATGAGGCTACTGAAAATACCACATCTTAGTCCTCAAACTGACACCTTTGCTCTTCAAAGAGCACCAGAATTGCCTAATGCAATACGTCGTTTCCTTTCTTGACTGCTGCTTCCATGAGTGTTGGTACTTGATTCTAGTAAAATGAAATCTTTGACAACTTCAATCTTTTCTCCCTTTATATGGATGTTGTTTACTGGTCCAGTGGTGAGGATTTCTGTTTTCTTTACATTGAGATGCAATCCATACCGAAGACTGTGGTCTTTGATCTTCATCAATAAGTATTCTAAGTCCTCTTCACTTTCAGCAAGCAAGGCTGTATCATCTGCATACCACAGGTTGTTAATGAGTCTTCGTCCAATCCTGATGCCACATTTTTCTTGATATAATACAGTTTCTCATATTATTTGCTCAGCATACAGACTGAATAAGTATGGTGAAAGAATAGAACCTTGGTGCACATCTTCCCTAATTTTAAACTATTCAGTGTCCTCTTGTTCTATTTAAACGACTGCTTCTTATTCTATGTACAGGTTCCTCATGAGCACAGTTAAGTACTCTGGAATACTCATTCTCTGCAGTGTTGTCTATAACTTGTCATGATCCACACAATCGAAAGCCTTTGCGTAGTCAAACTGGTATTGGCCATTTTGAATTTGACAATCACATGTTTGGAATGACAAATTGAAGAGGAATGGAATCTCATTCATCCAGAAAGAACATATCAAAAGCTGTCTTGAAGCACAACAGTGTCTGTGATAGGATACTATCCACACACCTACAAGGATAACCAGTTAATACCACGACTATTCAAATTTATGCATCAACCACTAAAAGCCAATAATGATAAAATAGAAGAATTCTACCAACTTTTTCAGTCTAAAATTATCAAACATGCAGTCGAGATGTATTGATAATTAGTGGCGACTGATATTCATCAGTATCATTATAAAAGCAATGAGTCAATTATCTTCATACAACTGATGAAATTTATTACTCTGAAAGGTATTTTGGTAATAAAGAACTATAATAGGATGAGAAATCCTGGTGTGGTGCTATGGGATAAAGTACGTGACCGCAAAGATGGTTTAAACCACAAGGCCGGTGATTCAAACTCACCAGTCGCTCCTTGGAAACCCTAGGCAGGGTCGTTGTGAAAAGGGAGAAGAACCTAAAAGATGAGTTTAAGAGAAACTGAGGAAATTAGAAATTGTGAAAACCCCAACTGTGAACTGATTATCTCAAGATGTAGCGACCATTATATTTTGAGTCCCAAGGAAAATCAAGTCCCAAGGAAAATCAGTTTGAAGTTCCCAAGGAAAATCAGTGTCAAGTCCCAAGGAAATCAGTGTCAAGTCCCAGTTTGAAGTCCCAGTTTGAAGTTCCCAAGGAAAATCAGTGTCAAGTCCCAAGGAAAATCAGTTTGAAGTTCAATGGGAGAATGTTTGAAGTTGGAATTGACAAATACCTCTTGGAGATTTTAGAGTATGCTATGTAAAGGTCTAAGGAGCTCTGGTAGCGTAGTGGTTACAAATAGGGCTGCGAACCTCAAAGGTCAGCAGTTTAAAACTACCAGCTGTTCCATTGGAGAAAGATGAGGCTTTCTGCTCCCGTAAGGATTTACAGCCTCAGAAACCCTGTACAGTGGTCGCTATGAGTCGGAACCGACTCCACGGCACATAACAACAACAAATGTAAAGGTCTTGGAATCGTACATTTCACTAAGAACAACAGCACATGAAAGATTAGGTAAAATAGCTGGTTTGAGAGTACTCTTTTGGCAAATCAAATAGGAGCAGGAGGAGCATGCCCACAGAGAAGAGAAATATTCTAGGGATTAAAGTTAAAGAGAAGAAACTGAAGAAAAGAGAAAAGATGACTACAATTTAGTACAAAATGATGTGAACTACAAAGGAAGACTCACTGTAGATCTCATGTGAGGAAGGAGGACACGGAGCAGGTTCAAAGTCCTGCATAGAAAATAAAGCAGAAGTAAAATGCAGATCTCAAGAGTAAAGGCCATGTAGGGCCAATAGTAACAGGAAGTTTAGCAAAAAGTAAGAGCAGATGTGTCAAGTCTGACCCACAAACAATCATGGGAATGTTGCAGGCCTGGGGAGCATTTATTTCTATTGAGCATAGGATCAGTTTAAGTCAGAGGCTGACTCAAAGACAGCTAACAACAGTAACAACAGACGTGTCAAAAAGCTGAAGCTCCTCAGCCTTACCGCATAGCCAACCAGATAAAGGTTGTCAGTCCAGGGTGAATCCCATGATGGAACCAGCTAGAGTACCCTGAAAGAAGTACATCATCTTATTTGACTGTAAAGTAAATCTTTTTCTCTTTAACAAAACACATTATTGCAAAGGTTCTGGCATACTTGTTGTTGCATTTATAGGTAGAAATGAGAAATTTGGAAGGAACAATCAATCATTTGAGGGTCATGTCATCTTTCCAATAGAAAACAAGTACCAAATAATTATTTAATGGCAAAACATGTCAATTTTGCTTTGCAACTAAAATTAGACATCATATTTCATTATCATTGTTCTAAGGTTATACAAATGCTTTTACAATTGATAGTAACTATATTTCTTAGTGTCACTCAGTGTTTTAAATGAATTGTTACAGTAAACACACTGGAATGATTTTGATAAGTGGCACAAAAAAGTGACGAGATAAGTGGCAATAATAAGTTAAAAACAGATTATTTTCAGTTAAAAAAACTACAGCAAAAGAAAAAAACTTTATAATGGATTAAGAAACAGAAGATCAGAAGTTTTAGATGATTAGAAAAAACAATTTTTCTATTTTCATATTAACTTGTCAAAAAAGAAGCCAAAACAAAAAAAATTTTAAGTGACTAAAAAAGCAAAAGAATACTGGAAGCAGACATTTAGTTGAATCCCCAAAAGTTTAGATTTACCACCTAAACTCACCATCTTTCTTCCCAGCAGCCACTTTTCTGCTGATAATAAAACTGTTGGCCTGTCTGGTCTTCCAGTTAACTGTTCCATTTATGCCATCAGCACAGCTTAATAAAAAAGCTTTTCAGAAAACAAATGCACAAAAAGTGAAATTAATGTCAGATTAGAGATGATTATCATAGATCACCTAGTGTTAACTGGGATCTGATTCTATTCAGCCCACCTAGCTGTTTATGTCCATTCAGCAGTATCTGTTGCATGTCAATACAAGAAATATGGAAAGGCAATAAAGTAAATAATAAGACACATTTCCTGCCTCGCAAGGAGTTTACAATCTATAGGACTTGATCACTCGTATAGAAACACATACACACACAACGGTAAAATGCAGAGGGAAACACAATGGTCTCTGGCTACGTGAAATTCATTTTAAGTGATAAATTCAGAATGTATTTGGAATATGTGAAATTTTAGGTGCCAGTTGGTAACCAGGTGAACCCATCTAGGGAAAGAATGGAAACAGAGCTCTGAAATGGGCCTTCAGAGGTTGATGTAAACTTCATCCCTAGGAGAAAAACTGTTGAAACCAAAGCTTAGTGTAATTGCTTAAAGATACCATGCCCCCAGATAATAAACATTGTTGTTGTTGTTGTTGTTAAGTGCCGTGGAGTCAGTTCCGACCCAAGTAACCCAGTAGAGGGTTTCCCTGGAGTGACTGGTGAACTTGAACCACGGAACTTGCGGTTGAAACCGATTTTTCAGTCCAGCACATTAACCCACAGCTCCATTCCAGGAATCCAGGTAACAAATATTAGGTCCCATGAAAAGAGTGATCTGGAGAAGATAATAGACAATTTCAATCTTGGTCCATTCATCAGATATGGCTCTACCATGTTCCCCACCATCCAAACTATCAATCTTACTGCTTACTCTCCCATTTTTCATCCTTACATTTCAGCCTTGAGATTTGGGGACCATTTTTCTGACTATAACATAGGCTCTCTACCCTATTTTCTCACATCTTCTGGCCATCTCTGGTCTGTTCTGTTCAGTTCATCTCAGTCCAATAATTCCCCAAGGTACATGACCTATGAATGGACCTCAAGTAAATGTGTCCTGGTGTGGTGCTGTAGGATAAGCACTGGACTGCTAACAATACGGTTGGTGGTTCAAATATGCCTGCCACTCTTCAGAAACCCTACACAGTGACACTAATGAGTCAACTAGACTTGACAGTACATAACAATCTTCTGAAAGTGAAATATTTCAAGAAGGAATATACAAAGAGTAGGAGGGACCCCAAAAGCAGGAAAGTGTGTTAATAAACACATTTATCTAGCCAAAGCAGAAGATAAACAGCAAAGAAAGGACAACTAAGAATGAAGTACCACCTAAGCCAATGGAAGAGAGCTATCAAAGAGAGTGTGATCAACAACTGTGCGTACTGCAAAAAGGTCAGAAAAGATGAGTGCTTAGAAAAGACTGTAAACCTTGAAAAGTGAAAAGTAATTGGTAACTCCTCAAAAGTGAAGTTCCAATAAAATGGTGAGAGTAGAATCCGAGATCGTATGTTAGGCTGAGAAGTAGCAAGGTAGAGAGAAGGGTTATTTGGAGACTTACATTTTGTTCATAAGCTGAGGAAAAGAAATCAGGGGAGAGGAGACTGACCATAAAGAAAAGGAGTACAATGAGGTACAATCAAAGGGAAATTAGGAAAATTAGCATGGGTAGGACCAAGACATCCTGAACCATAAATAAAGGGCAAGTGAAGAGAGAAACGTTTGCTGCAGAACAGGCATTTAATGTTGAGATCCACTTTGTTCACAAATCACAGAGGAAATGTGTATTTTCTTTCCAAACTAAGTTTTCAATAAGCATTTGAATCTAAGCTGAAGTATCAGAAATACTAAGTTCCCTACTAAAGTATGAAGAACGAATGCAACTTTAAAAACCCAGCTTATTAAAAATAAATAAAACTTCAGGCTATTATTTCAGTGAGACATAAGAGTAGAAACCAAAGACCCTATCACCCAAGCAAATAATCTAATTACTATTCAATTTTGTAAACTTAAGTACGCCTACTAAACTACCAATCTTATGAATGATGTGCTAAATAAATGGCTGACTTGTTTAATAACAGAAATTATATACTTTAAAATCTAGGTGAAGCATAAATACCATAGACATTTCCTCAGTGATTTAAGCTAAAACAGGATTAGAAATGTTAATAGTCACTTGTGGCAAAATCCCCCACCTCCAGAGTTCTCTTGTTCATTGGGTTCCCAAGGCAACATGCTGGTTGAGAAATATCACCTGGACAGCTCTTTAAAAATATATCTTTATACCAATCCCTTTGTTGTTGAGTAAATTCGGACACATAGCGACCCTAGGGCAGAGTAGAACTACCCCTCTGCACATCTTTCTTCCACAGAGTTCTAGTGGGTTCAAATCATCAATATTTCAATTAGCTGCTGAGGTCTTTAACCACTGTATCACCAAGGCTCCTTCTATTTATGGTGGTGGTGTGTCATGGAGTCGGTTCCGACTCACAGCAACCCCACATAGGATTTCCAAGGCTGTAAGTCTTTATGGGCGCATAAAGTCTCATATTTCTTCTGCAGAACCGGAGGTAGTTCCCAACTTCTGACCTTGAAGTTAGCAGCCCGACTCATAATCACTATGCTAGGAAACCCTATGTGGGGTCACTGTGAGTCAGATCCAACTCCACAGCCCATAACAACCACCACCACCACACTCAAGACCTAAATAATAATTTTTTAAAAAATTAAATATTCATTCACAATTTCAGAGTATTCTGATTAGATGGATTACACAGTTTCAACAGATGACTGTCATATACACTTCTGAGCACCAGTTGACTTTGAGTGACCTACAGAATCCAAGAGAAATGGATATTCATTCAGCTGATGTGGCACTGTGGGTTAATGCGTTGGACTGCAAGGTCAGTTTGAGCCGCGCCTCGGAAAACGTATACAGGGTCACTATGAGTCAACACCGACTCCAGGGCATTTAACAACAACAACATAGCGACTCTATGTTTCTGAGGGATTCTGAGACTGTAAACCTTGATGGGTGCAGACGGCCTATCTTTCTTTCACTGAACAGCTCTTGAGTTTGAACCTCTGAACTTGTAGTTAGCCGTCCAACATTTACCCCCCCAGCACCACCAGAGCTTCTTAACTGACTCATTTGCAAGACTATGAAAGGTCAGTGCTGGACAGTGGGAAATCCAAACAGGAAGCAGGAGACCAAATTCTCTACAACTTTGCAAAGAACAATGTGGATCTGATGACTAACATTTAGACTTAAATGCTACTATGCAAAGTGCCTTCACATACAAGGCTCTAGCTCAAGCTTTACAAAACCAAACAAATCTATCAACATGTCTGAAGATTATGGAGGCTTAAACTTAAAGCAGAATGGAGTAAATCCTGCAGACAAGCAAGCCCTCTTTAGAATTCTCCACTTCTCCAAGGACTGGCTAGTTACCATAAAGAAAGAATGGTTTGAGTGTCCTTCCTTTATTCTAACTCAGTGGTTCTCAGCATTGTGCATTACATTGTTGTTCACAGTTATATCCACAAAACTACACACATTGTACTTTATAGGTGATTTAAAGGATTTACTAGGATAATTTTAAGTCTATGGGAATTTTGTCTTACATTGACTTCTAGAACCTGACTAACCCCAGGGAAGGAGTACTGGTGTGGCGCTGTAGGATAAGCACTGGACTGCTAACCACAAGATTGGCAATTGGAGCCTTCCAGCTGCTCGTTGGAAACTATACAGGGTCGCTATGAGTCTGAACCAACTTGATGGCACTTAACAACTATCACCCCAACAGCATAAGATTTGACGCCACTGTGCGTTCTTGATGGGTGAACTAATACAACACTGCCTTTTACAAGGATTCCAAAGCAAATTTGACTGGTGCTTTAGTTGTTAAAAAACACAGAGACAACATAAAGGAATTCCAAACACTTTCCATAAATACCACTTTGGGTATTTTATAATACACAATAATAATATATATTTATTTTTAATTAATTTTAACTCTAATACACAATAATAAATATAATAAAGCCAGCATTATTTGGAGCACCTTCATTTTTTAAAGGTTCATATTATAATACCTATATTCCTCATATTACCACATGCTCTTCAGGGAGACTACTGAAGTCCAATTGTTGTTAGGTGCCATCGAGTTGGCACCGACTCATAGCGACCCTATTCACAACAGAACGAAACACTGCCCGGTCCTGGGCCAACCTCACAATTGTTGCCATGCTTGAGCCCACTGATGCTGCCACTTGGCCAATCCATCTTGCTGGGGGTCTTCCTCTTTTTCTCTGACCCTTCACCTTACCAAACATGATATCCTTCTCCAGCGACTGGTCCCTGCTGACAATATATCCAAAGTATGAGACATGAAGTTTGGCCATCCTGGCCTCCAAGAAGCACTCTGGCTGTAATTCTTCCAACACAGATCTGTTTGTTCTTTTGGCAATCCATGACACTTTCAATATTCTCCTCTAACACCATAACTCAAAAGCATCAATTCTTCTACAGTCTTCCTTACTCACTTAGTCCAATACAACTAAATAAAAAGACCATTTTATGAGGGTCTATTTGCCAGACAATGTCACTAAGACAAGTGACAATACCATGGCTTGTGTGGCTGATAAAACATTCAAGTCCCCACACCTTGAGAGAGAAACATCAATAACACGGAAATAACTATTTGCTTTTAATTGTAAGTTAACATCATTGTTCTACTCGACTAACTGCTTGTATAGAAAATTATTATAATCTGTATATTAACAAGTGCAGAATGCTCACTGAGAAAAACCTAGTGGTTTAGAGTTTGATTTTCATTAGAAAAGGACCAAAGCATTTTTCTTGTTTTTCCTGTGAGAACAAATTTCTTTAATTAAGTTAGGAAAACATGACTCCATATTGAAAATATCTTTTCTATATACAACTTTTTATGATTAAACTTGATGTGTAAAGAAAATGTATATAGACTGGTTCTTGGACTTCTTCCAAAGAAAACAGACCATCCTTAGAAATCTTGAAGAGAACTCCACAGTGCTCACTGG